CAGATTGGGTAAATGAAGTATGGTGAAAGGAATTAAACCAGTGAAATTGTTAGTACCAAGATTCAACCAAGATAGATTAGTCATAATTCCTATTTTAGAAGGAATGAAACCTTGTAAATTATTTGAACCAAGATCCAAATAGTGCAAATTAGACAAATGAGATAGAGATGAAGGGATACCACCAGTTATTTTGTTTTTACTAAGATCCAAGTCCCACAAATTATATAGACTTCCTAAATTTTGAGGGATAGAACCATTGAAGTTATTTGAACCAAGATTCAAATTTGACAAATTGGACAAGAGACCCAGAGATGGAGGGATTTGATCGGTTATTTGGTTATTACTAAGATCCAGACTCTGCAAATTAGACAAATTAGACAGAGATAAAGGGATACGACCGGTTATTTGGTTATTACTAAGATCTAGACTCCACAAATTAGACAAATTAGATAGAGATGAAGGGATACGACCGGTTATTTGGTTATTACTAAGATCCAGACTCCACAAATTAGACAAATTAGACAGAGATGAAGGGATACGACTGGTTATTTGGTTATTACTAAGATCTAGAATCCACAAATTAGACAAATTAGACAGAGATGAAGGGATATGACCGGTTATTTGGTTATTACTAAGATCCAATTCCAACAAATTATATAGACATCCTAAATTTTGAGGGAAAGAACCATTCAAGTTATTTGAATAAAGATCCAAAGTTGACAAATTGGACAAATGAGACAAAGAGGAAGGGATTTGTCCAGTTAATTTATTACCACCAAGATTCAGAACTTCCAAATTACTTAGATTTCCTATGTTTGGTGGGATGGAGCCCTCAAAAGAATTTGTTCCAAGGTCCAGGAACCTCAAATTGGAAAAGAGACTCAAAGATGATGGGATTGTGCCCCCTAAACGGTTTTGCAAAAGATACAAACCAATCAAGCTCTTAAGGTTTGTCAATTCCGAAGGGATGAAGCCATTGATTTGATTCTCATAAAGAAACAAGTATCTCAAATTTGTCAATTGACCCAAAGTTGGAGGGAGCGAACCAACAAGTCCGCAGTGTTTCATGCGAAGATCAGTGAGATTCGTCAAATCCCCAAATTCTGGAGGGATGGAGCCACTAAATGAATTGAAACTGAGATCTAGAAATGTCAAACTGGTTAATTGTCCAAGACGGGATGGTATTAGACCCACAAACAAGTTTCCAGATAGATCCAGAGAAACCAAGTTCTTTAAATTTCCCATTTCTGAAGGTATGGATCCATTGATTTGATTGTTTGCAAGAGACAAAGAAACCAGATTGGTTAAATGACTGATGTTGGAAGAGATTGGACCATTGAGGGAGCAACCGCTCATGTCTAAGGCTACAAGACTCTTCAAGTTCCATATTTCTGAAGGTATGGATCCATTGATTTGATTGTTTGCAAGAGACAAAGAAACCAGATTGGTTAAATGACTGATGTTGGAAGAGATTGGACCACTGAGGGAGCAATCGCTCATGTCTAAGGCTACAAGACTCTTCAAGTTCCATATTTCTAGAGGGATACTACAATCAAAAGGATTTCCGGTCAACTCCAAGTGGGAAAGATTGGTGGGAAGGCCTATAATTGGAGCAGTGGATGCATTGAGGTTGTTCCCAGTCAAGTTCAAAGAAACAAGATTCTTCAAACTCCTGAATTTTAGGGAGATGGAGTTTATGTAATTGAAAGATACGTCAAGCATCCGTAATTGAGTGAGATTTCCAAGTGAAGAAGGCAATGTACCTGTTAGATCGTTGTTGGACAGATTAAGGTGCTCGAGTCTTGTAAGATCACCAATTTGAGGTGGGATGCTCCCATAGAGTCCTTGAAGGCTAAGATTAAGGCGAACAAGATTGGGGAAGGAAGAGAAGTTTATTTTTCCAAACTTCTTTCCCACACTAAAATCAGGTGGACTAATCTCGGTAATGCTCCCAGCACCGTTGCATGTTATACCAGGCCAGCTACAATGGTCTGCAACGTTGTTGATGGAGGCATTCCACCACCCACTCTTCCACAGAGCTAGTGCCTCCGGTGTTGTCCTGGTCACAAATGTGCTGCCAGTGCCAATAGAAATTGTAGAGCAGAAAAATAAGGAAGCCCATGTTAATAACTCCATGGAAATGCGAACGTAAAATGCCATGTTAATTTTGATTTTTCAAGTTGAGGTTCTTTGCTGGGTTTAGGAGCAAGGGTAGATATTTAAGGTGCTCGGTCCCATCAGGTTCAGATGACTGAGCTGACCTTTTTTTTT